ACAGTTCCTTACCTCAACACCCGGCACCTACTAAATATGGATTGGCTTTTTTGTTATGGTTTTCAGTGCTGGGGATGAAATCCAGGGCCTTGCACATATTAGGTACACCCTAATCCTTTCTAAAATTTTGAGTATTTTGTTAAACTGCTGAAGGCTGGCTTGAACCTTGAGATCCTCCTGCCTCGGCTGGATCACAGGCATGCAACACCATGCCAAACCTCCACTGATATGCTTCCTGTCTCTGGATTTGCCTCTTTCTGGATATTTCATATAAATGGAATCATATGATAGGGCACCTTTGTATCTACTTGGCTTCCCTTGCTGAGCATGACATCAAGGTTCATTCCTTCTTGTGGCTGAATAATATTCCTTTGCCTAATATACACACTATCAATCTGCTGACAGACATTGGGCTGTTGTGAGTGATGCTGCTGCAAAGATTCAGGTACAGATATCTACTAAATCCCTTTGTGCAGTTTGGTGTGGGTGTTCAGAAATGGGACCGAGGGGCTGTGGAGCTAGCTCAGTGGTCTAAGTGCCTGCCTAAGCAAGCACAAGGACCAGGGTTCGATCCCCGGTACCACACGCTATGCTGGCACTGCCCCAGGCATGCTGAGCTGGCCACCAAGACTGGGCGTGGTGGCACATGTCTGTAATCCCAGCTATGAAGAGGCTGAAACAGGATCACTATGAGTCCAAGCTGTATAGTGAGACCCTGTATCAAATACATAAAATTAAGAAAGAAAAAGGGACTGTGGGTTACTGTCCTCCATAGTATTTACAGGCCCACCTCAACTTCAACATTTGTTATTTTCCATTTTAAAGAAAAACTATGGGCTAAGCATGTTTTCACATACCTGTAATCCCAGCACTTGGGAGGCTGAGGCGAGAGGATCACTGCAGGTTTGAGGCCAGCTACTATGGCCTACAAAGGGGGTTTATAGCCTGCCTCAACTATATAGTGAGATTCTGTCTCAAAAAACAAGAAAAAAAAACTATGGTTGGTGGGGGTGAAGTGATATCTCACAGCGGTTTTGATTTGCATTGCTTTATTTTTTTATTATTATTTTTTTATTTTTTAAAAAATATTTATTTATTTATTTAGTGTATGTGTGGCCAGCTCAGCCCACCAGGGGGCGGGACTGGCTGGCATGTGGTGCTGGGGGATTGAACCGCGGTCTCTGTGCTTTGTTTAGCTTGTTCTAAGTAGGTGCTTTAGACCACTGAGCCATCTCACCAGCCCTGCATTGCTTTAATAACTAAGGATTTTGGCATCTTTTTATGTGATTTTGGACACATTTCTTCTTTGAAGATTTATCCAAGTCCTTCCCTATCTTGACTTTTTCTTTTTGCAGTTGAGCTATAAAAGGTCTCTGTATTCTAGGTCCTTGTCAGGCATGTGAGTTGTATGTTCTGTCTCACTGCGTGTTGTCTCCTTACGTTTGGTAGCATTCAATTTATGTTTTCTTTTAATGACTTTGCTTTTGGTATCAAAGATAAGAAATAATTGTCAAATTCAGTGTCAAAGAAGATTTCTCCTTTTATTATGGATTTTATAGGTTGGGGGTTTCATCTATTTGATTTAATTTTCCTGTAGCATGAAATAGGGGCCCAACTTCATTTTCTCTCAGGGGATATATCCAGTTTCCCCATCAGCCCTATTTGTTGAAAGAGCAGCCTTTCCATCAGTGTCTGGTCTTTGAGCCCTTAGCAAAAAGCATTTGACCACACATGTACAGGTTTTATTCTGGGGTCTCTCTTCTGGTCAACTGGTCTCTGTGTCTGTCTTGGTGCCAAAACCACACTGTTCTGGTCGGGGTAGCTTTATAGTAAGTTTTGAAACCAGGAAGTGTGAGACCTCCAACTTTCTTCTTTTTTGAGATTGCTTTTGTTATTTGCAATTCCATGTGAATATGAAAACTGAAATTTCCATTTCTACAAACAAGGGCCCCTGGAATTCTAACAGGGATTGCATGAGCCTTAGGCCACTAGGGCAGTATTGTCATCTTAAATTTTCCTGTCAAAGATATGAATGCTTTTCAATTTGCTTAGGTTGTTTTTAATTTCTTCTAGCAGTAGTTTGTGGTTTTCATTATTTGAGTCTTTCATTTCCTTGGTTGGGTTTATTCCTAGCATCCTGCTCTCTATTAAATGGGGCTGATTCCTCAGCCCCATTTATTAATCTTTAAATGAATGAAAGATTCATTGACAAAGTAGCAGAGAGCCTCTGGCCCATGGAGGATCATGGTAGACCTGGTATGAGCACTGGGGCCCCATGGCTGTTGTAGCAGGAGCAGAGGAGGGGCCCTGGCCGAGCTGTTGCTCCAAATGAGGCCAGAGGCCACCCTGAGCATGGCTGTAGCCTGCTGGACAGTGCCTACAGATCTGAGTTCCTGTGAGGAAGTAGTCCTTCCAGGGTCAGTTCCACTTGAGGTGGTCATCTGTCCAAGGAGCCCCTACTCTCATGGTGCTCACAGGTGGAGTAGTCAGACTAACATACTGGGTGGTTTGCAGCATGTGGGCACACTTAGATTCTGAGCCAGCTTCTGCACAGCACTCCCATAGAATGGTGATCATCTAGTATAGCTCATGGGGCTCCCTGGTGGGAATGATTTTAACAGGGAGAAACAAGGAAGAGTGGTCCCAATTCTTTAGATAGTGGCTGACTAATGGTGTCAGGACTTACAAGCTCCCACATTGAATTCAAGCTCCCACTCCTCACAAGTCTCTCTCTGGGGATGGCTGAGAAAGAGACCAAGTCTCCTTCAGATGCTTCATGGTAAGGAACACACTGGTCTGGGCCACCCAGACGACCCAGTCTGCCCACTGTGCTGGGGACAGGGCCATGTGTCCTGACATAGCAGAGGTGTGGTGGGGGTGACAGGCAGTGGCTCTGAGCTAGTGCTCTATGAGTAGGTCCTTGGAGGGCTGTGAATGGAGGAATGTCACAGTAGAGTCCCTGCTGGGGGATGACCTGGCAGTGGCAGTGTAGTGGAGAGCCATGGCATAGCTGTGATGGATGGATTGTGGCGGACCTCTTGGCTTGGGAAGAACAGGACTGAGGAGCCTATACCTGTCAGGAGGTGGAGGCTGTGTGTACATCACATCTTGACCTGAGATCACCTGTGATGTCCTGGTGAGTGGATCTTCAGAGCTACTTCCTGGGATGAGGGGTCCTTCCCTCCCGAGCAGGGATAGGGCACCCAGGGTCAGAGCCAAGGGATCTCTGGAGTGGGTCCTGTGTCATTGGATCTGCCTTGCAGGGACAGGACCTATTCCAGTGGCTGGTGCAGGAATAGGTCCTAGAAATGGTTTCTGGTCAAATGCAAACCCTTAACTTCACATTGAGTAAGCCCCACCATGAAATTTTTGGTGTTGTTATTCTACTGCCCCACAGGGCTCTCACAGCAGATGGACGCGTGTGGGTCTGTCCACACAGCAGGTAATATTTGTTGACAGAAGTAAGGAGATGAGTGCTAGCATAGCACTTGGGATCACTAAAGACCTTGCAAAGCACCAGGGATCACTAAAGACCGCATGTGTTGCTCTACTTACAGGAATGTCCACAAAGAGAGATAAAAACAGGTTGGGGATGTGAGGTAGGAACAGTATTTGGGGCAATGGGGACATACTAAATGCCACAGCCCCTGATGTACAGCAGTATCTGGCTTCCTTCAGCTATTAGCTTGGGGCCTCTAGACCTATGGGAGAAGAGGCTGTCTGTACTGTGGCTTTACTGATTACCCCAGATCTTTCTTTCCTTCCAGTCAGGGCTGTGGGGCCATGTCTATCACCCCACTAAAGCCCTGTTCTCACCTCCACTGGACCTGCAGGCCCCAAGAGGCACCTGGAAGACTGGGGGAATATGGCTGGGCAAGGTCTAGGAATAGCCCACAGTTGGGCTGAGCACTGTAGACCTAGAACCCACTGTGTCCTGGCAGGGGGCACGGAGGGCTGGTGTCTACTGGTTTGGGGTCCCTGACTATTCCAGCAACAGCTGCCTCTGCTATGCCTCCACCACCATCCTATGAGGCAGGCCCCACCCAGCCCGCCAGCCAGGATGGTCCCCAGGCTGCTAGTCAGCTCCTGGGGCTGCCGCGGGCAGACGTGCTGGCTCCAGGCTCATTGCTCTGAGGCCCGTCTGTCCCTGACAGACACAGGCGCCCTGTTCCCAGGGAGCTGGGACACCGTCTCTCTGTTTGCACCTGGGCTAGCCATCCCCCCAGGCGCCCGGAGGGGGGGCTGTGCACAGACCCGCACTTGTGCCCACCTCGGTCACACCACCTTGTCCCCGCCGGGCCCTCAGTGGTATGGCCAACCACATGGGTTCCAGACACTGGGATGCAGGGGTGGGCAGCTGTCCCCGCCAGGCTGGGCAAGAAGCAGGGAGATTCCACCAGGAGCTCTGCTGTCTTCCCTCTCTGTAGTGCTGTCCACTTAGTGACTATGGAGCAGTAAACATTCCTCCTGGGCAAAAGGCTGCCAGACCTGGGGCCTCTGTAGCTGGGGGACGTGGTCACCAGCTGAGAACAGAGGCCTTCTGTCTGTGCCTCATGCACACTGATCTCCTGGGGAGGAGCAGGAAATGTGAACTGAGTGTGAGCTGGGGTAGAGACCATGATGACAGTGAGCCCCTCCCCATTTGGATGAGGGGGCTCAGTGGGGGTCAAGCACACTGGTTATGGGATGGGAACCTGGCTGTCCACACAGTTACAGGGTCAGCAGAACTGTCCCACGATATCAAGGATTCCAGGAGGCCCCAGAACAGGGCTGCCACCAAAGCTTTAGCTGTGGACACTCTGCTCACTGAGTTCATCCAGACAGGGGTGCTGGCAAACCCACCAGGCAGCAGGGGTACAGAGGCAGAGAAGTTCTCAGAGGTGAGAAGACCCAAAGATCTCAGGAAGCATGGTGCCCAGAGGCTCCTTCCCAAGAAAGGGACAGGGAAGAGCAAAGTGACAGGGACACTTTCTTCTGGCGGGATGCCATGTAGAGCTGGGTGTTGGCTCTGACCTTTATTGGGGGGATGAAAGCTACATGGGTTCTTCTAGGGGCCACCCTCGTGCCTGGAAATAGTCCTTCAGGTCCTCCAAGCGCAGTGGGGGAAAGTAGGGGCCAATCCTCTTGCGTGCCCACCACTTGCCTTCTGAGGCGTGCTTGCCTCCGGGCCGGCTGAACTTGTACCGCCAGTGTTCTCCACGGACCCACCTGTGGGGGGTAGCATGTCAGCCTGGGGTGCCAGTGCCCTGCTCACCCTGTACTGAGATATAGCTTCTCCAGGGACCTGAGGTCCTCACTCAAGGTGAATGCATTTCACAGGGACCCTTGCCCAGGACCCTGAGTTCCTGCTTCACCTAGACCACCATCGATGGAGCCGACAGAGGCTCCAGGTCCCATCCCTCAACCCATCTCAGCAGACCCTGACCAAGATGATGGTTTCTAATTTACACTTTCTGTCTGTTGTCATGTTTGGACATGAACTAGATATGCAGCTCTAATGATGGCACATGGTGTGTGCCTGGAGTTCTGAGGGACTCCTGGGTGCCACTGTACTCTCACAGGCAGGGTGGCAGTGCCCATGGCAGTTCCCAGGCCCTTAATGAGGTTAGAGAGAAGAGGTAGAGATAGTGGGTCTCAAAGTTGCTGATTCTAAGTGATGTGACAGTGCCAGCATCTATCGGAGTCAGAATGCAAGGTAGGGGGTTCCCTAGACTACAGAGTGGCCTGGCCCAGGTCTTGATACCTGGTAGGAGGGAGTCAACACGGGGCTGGGGCTGGACAGGGCTTGTTATGCTGAATATGGAGCCCCTAAGGAAGGTCCTGTCAGGGGATCACTTCACTTTCCTGGGTTCTCTCTTGCTTCATCCTCTGCAAGTGTGGTGTGGCTAGTCCCCTGAGGGGGATGAACACCTTTTAGTAACAACCATGGCCAGCCGGGGTGGAAGGCGATATCCCGGGCTTCTTGTGTGCACTGTCAGTGATGGTGGCCAGGAGGGCCATGACGCAGCCTGAAAGGTTCCAGAGCCTGAACAAAGCAGGTGGATTTCTAGCACACTTAAAATCTGACACTATGGGCAACATCTTGGAGAACTAGTGTAAGGTCCCCGCCAGGCCCCACTCTTGTCTGATCCCTCACCCAGCAAGTTCCCTTCCTCTGTCATCTTGTCCTTTCAAAAATGCCATGTGAAGGAAGTCCAACTGAGTGTGTGCCCTTGAGAACTGGCTCTTTGACTCAGCTCCTTTCTCTGGAGGTTCCCCAATACCTTGTCCTCTTAGTGCCCATGAGATGTATCTCAAGGCGTGGTCACTTGTCTGAGAAAGGCATCTGGATTCTTTCTAGTTTCAGTCTATTACACTTGTTGATGAATACGTGCAGGCAAATTCTGCACAAACCTGTTTCCGTTTCTGGGCTGCATGTCCGTGGATGGCATACCTGGGTTGCGTGGAGGCCGCAGGGTTTCTTCTGTAGTCATCGCTCCGCTGTTCTCCAGAGCAACTGTACTGCCTCACCAGCCGTGTGTCTGCTCTCAGAGCATCCCTGCCAATATCGGGCACTGATACAGGTTTGTCTCACAGGCATTCTCACAGGTACACAGTGAGGTCTCTTTTTTTTCTAGTTCTTGATGGAATCCTGGGCTTAGGTCATAGGTTTGAGGTCTGCCTTCTTCTCTAACCGAGTCACTTAGTGCTTTCCTCCTCACCATTTTAGCTTCATCCCACAGATTCTGACGTGCATTCTCATTCAGTTCACTGGGTGTCATATTCTGAGATGCTGGTTAAGTCCCCTTGCTTGCTGCTGTCACCCAGTTGTTTAACCAGCTGTTGCAGGAAATGTGCTCAGGATTCCAGAGGAGACTTTGTTTTTTTTTTGTTTTTTCCTGGAACTGGGGATTGAACTCAGGCCCTTGCGCTTGACAGGCAAGCGCTTATTCTACTGAGCCATCTCCCTGGCCCCATAGAGGAGACTTTGGATGCCTCCGTTTTTCGTTTTAATTCTGTGCAGTTTTCTCCACACACTGAAGCCCTGTACTCAATACTCATGCTTTCAGGGGTGCCATCTCCTTGTGAGTTGACTCCCCCCGCCCCCTTTATGTGCTGCCCATCTTTTTTTTTTGAAGTCCATCTGATATTAACCAATCACTCCTGCTTTGCATTAATATATATGAGACATATCTTCGCATCCATTTGTCCTGAATCTGCCCATTCTGTCACATATTTTGGGTGAATTTATTACACACACCACTTGGTTGGATTTTTTTTTTTTTTTTTGAGAAAGTGTCTCACTATGTATTTCAGGTTGGCCTTGACCTCACATTGGAGCCCACACTGGCCTCAAACTTGCAGTAATCCTCCTGCTTCAGACTCCTGAGTGGTGGGATTATAGGCACACACACCACGGCCAGCTAGGTTGTGCTTTTTTTTTTTTAACTTTCTGCAAAGCTTTATTCCAGAGGGGCTCAGTCCTTCCTGGCAGCTGCTTTCCTTATGGCCAGCACGTTGCTCAGCTCCTCATGCTTCCTCTTGGTGTGGATGTGCGTCCCCACCCTTTTCTCAATGAACTTGAGGGCACGCTTGTCCTTGGAGACCTTGAGCAGCTCCAGGGCACGCCGCTCGTCGGGGGTGAAGCCGCACACCTCCCGGATCATGTCCCGCACAAACCTGGTGTGTTTGGAGAGGGGTCCGGGACGGTGGCTGTGCCTCGGTTTGCTCACATTCCTAGTCACCTTATGGCCCCTGTTGAAGCCCATGGCCATGGGATAGTGGAGGGCTGGGGAAAGTGGAGATGAGGGCTAGCTACTATTCTTCAATGGTTAAGGTGGCAGAACTGGGTTGTAATTTTTAATCAACTCTGCAATTCCTATTTTTTAATTGCTAATTTAGCCAGCTTATATTTAACTATTTATGTTAGAGTTTAAGTATATTAATTTATTTTTTGTTTTTATCTTTTCCTCTGATCTCCCTCCATTGCTTTTCCTTTTCCTTTTTTTTTTTTTTTTTTCTGTTCTTTCTTTCAAGAGATAGGCTCTTCCAGTGTTTCTCAGGCTTGCCTTTTACCTCTAGGCTCAAACAAGACTCCTGCCTTCACTTCCTGAGTAGCCGCAACTACAAGTGTATACCACTGTAGCTAGCTGTTGTGAGTTTAAATATCTTTGCCCCTCCTGCCTCCTTATGAGTTACATAATTTTTAGAATCTTCTTTTGATTTGCCAATCATGTCTTTAAATGTATCTCTTCAAATTTTCTTTTCTTTTCTTTTTTTTTAAAATGTATTTAGTACAGGGTCTACAGGGTCTCACCACACAATTGGACCCATAGCGATTCTCCTGTTTTCAACCTCCCAAGCACTGGGATTACAGCCATGTGCCACCACACCCAGTCTCAACTGCCGTCTCAGCGTGCCCCAGGAGTGGGGCCAGTATGGCATGCCGGGGATTGAACCCCAGTCTGCCTAAGCAGGCGTTCTAATCCACTGAGCTATCTGGCCAGCCCTAAATGTATCTCTTCATATGGCCTGTTCTTTGGCTCTTAGTGCATTCTACATACAAACTTTACAGATTGCTGATGCCCTAGGCCAGTTCAAGTGAACCGCACAGACCTTCCTCCCTATGTCCACTTGTCCTCTGCCACCCATCATGGAGCTGTCCTAAGGATGTCATCTGGAGGCATGTTGTACTCCTTGCCTAGCCAACAGGCATGAGTGAGAATGGGAGAAGCATCGAGTCCCTGCAGTCTGGCTTCTTCCCTCAGTGCTCGGAGGTTCCTTTGTCCAGAGTCTGCTGTCAGGAGAGCTTGCTCTGCTTGTCCCTTTAGGGTGACCACCCTGGCATCAGCATCACCATTGACATCTCCTTCATCTAAAAGTGTCTCAATTTCCCATTTTTGCTGGGGATGCTCTGGATGGCATCCAGAAGAGGTTGTACCCCGGCCTGTGGCCTTGTCAGTGTCACTGACTGCCTCCCCTACAGCGAGGTGGTGTCTTTGGCTGCCTCCACAACCTCCTTGCTGTCTAACTTCAGTGTGCATTGCTGTGAACTTGGCTGGAGCTCACGTGGCTTACTAATCGTGTAGTTTGTTCCTCTTCAGTCATTACTTCTCCAAGTGCCTGTACACTCCAATACTCTTGTCCCCGAGGGGCCCTGATGATATGGTCTCTGGCTCCTGTTGCCCTGAGTGGGGTCACTGTCATTTCCTGCCTTCCAGGTCACTGATTCTCTTGTCCTTTCTCTCCTGATGCTGAGCCTCCCCGCTCCAGTGGTTTATTTCAGCTACTGTATTTCTCAGTTCTCAACTTTCATTAGGTTTTTCTTCATAATTTTTATTTCTTTGGTATGACTGTTGTGTTCAGAGCTCATAAATAAATCACTTCTGCAGCAGATGCTTTAGGATGTCTGTGCCATAACTGGTGTCACCTTAGTGCTGTCACGCACCAATTGTCTTGTCTCTCACTCACTTTAATATCTTCCCAGTTTTTAATGTTATATGTGCTTTTCAATTGAAAACTTAACGCTCTAGGTGTCCTCAGATCCTAGCTCTTATTTGAGCCTGTTGTTTTAGGTTGCTGCTTTTGATGGTGCTAGAAGGGGCACAGCTTTGCTGCTGGTTGTGGGGGATGCAACTGACAGACAAGGGTGTCCTGGGGGCTAAGGCAGCTCTGTGTCACCTCACACCAGCCCTGGGGAGGACAGCACTCAGCGCTGTTGAGTGGGAGTGCAACCTGAGGTCCCCACGCCCCTGCCCGCTGGGGTGAGAACACTCAAGCCTCCCAAAGTGGTTTGGGCTTCTCACCTGCCTTTCTGGAGTCAGGCCACCACTCCCAGGCTTTCCTGGCTGCTCCCCAGCCACAGGAAGAAGCTCTTATTGGACATTTTGGTGCTGTCTTGCATTCCCAGTTGCTGTTACTTTGTCTCTACGTCTAGAAAGTGAGGCACAAAGAAGACCAGGAACACGCCTCCCTTTGGGGCTGTTGCCCCTGAGGTCCCTTGCTGGTAGCTTCTTTGAGTTACCTCTTAGTTACTTGGGTTTGCTTCATGTGTTGTGTCCAGAGCTTCTGCATGTCCTTAGGAGGGGTGACAGGAAAACATGTTTCTCTGGACATCTTTTCACAGTGGAAGGCTCAGCTCACCCATTTTACGAAGTCCAGATAAAATAAATGTAGTTAGGCCTATGTTCAGTGCTCACAGGCAGGGGCCAAGACTCTGGTCAGGGCTATCATCATGTAGTCCTGCCCTAGCTGCGAAGTGGAGGGTCACATACTATGTGTTAATTTTAAATATTTCAAGTGCCTCAATGTTTCCTCTCAGGATTAAGTCACTACTCCTTCTCATAAGCTATGAACTGGTTTTTGCATCTCAGTTTTCTGGTCCATCCTTTTAGGCACCTTTATTACTTAGTGCCTCCAGGCTGGAAGTCCGATGGTTTGATCCACTTGCTTTTCCAAGGAAAGGCTCTCCTTGCCATGGCTGCACACCCCTCTGGAGTCAGCTTCAGAAGAGCTGGATAGTTCAGAGACCCCACACAGCCCTGCTGGGCCAAGGACCTGGACCAGTGGCTCTGGCTTGAGGGGAGTGCAAAGCAGAAGGGAGCCTGGCCAGGTCTGATACTCCTCCACCTGGGGCTGCTGGGACCAGTATAATCACAGACAAAACCCGCTTGAAGTTTGCAAGGACAAAGCTCAGGGACCAAGTGGATCCCTGAAATGCCAGGAGAATGTCTGCTCACAGCACTGTGCCCGTCTGGTCTGCAGTGGCCACAGGGAAGGCAGGTCAGCAGGGCCTTCATGCTAGTTCACAGAAGGGGGCGCTGCCCAGGGGACTGGTCATTTCAAGTGGGAGCCTGAGCTCTCATCATGCCTAAGGGAACATGGGGACTGTGGGGTGGGCATTGGTCCATAGGGACCTAGCTCTGGCTCTATAGCTCCATGGCAGGACACGATGGGGCGGGGGCTCAGCAGCTCATGTGGTCAGGGCATCTGCCAGGCTGGCACAGCTGCTCGGCAGCCTGCAATCTCTGCCTACCCAGTCCTCACAGCTGTGGGTAGTTCCGAGCTGCAGCTGCCCTGAGCTGGCTGAGGGTAGAAACAGGAACGTGTTTACTGTCAGAATCAATGACTCCTGTGGGGGAGGTGGGGGGAACCAGGCTAGCTCAGGCCTATGTTGTCCTTGGTCTTCAGTGGCCACTCAGATCTATGCAGTGTATCTGTCTACCCAGTCTCCAGTCTGGGGAGAAGGTCACCAGGGACTCTTGACATGCACACCCTGGCCTGCATCCTCCTATCCATGCTTAGCCCCACAGCTACACTTCCTTATGTAAGGCACAGCACCCCAGCCCTGGCTCTGTAGGCATTCAGTTCCCCAGAATCAATCCTGCGCCTGGCTACACCATGTGCTATTCATACTACAGTTCCCAGGGGCCAGTCCTCACCCTGCTCTAAACCATAGCCCCTTGTGCAGGAGTCTGGAAAGCTAGGCCCATCATCCCATTTCCACTCCAATGCCACCCTCTTGTTTCCTGTGCATCCTTAACCCCACATGGCCTGCTCCCTGGATGTTACCAAGTCATTCACAGGTGGGCCTTACTTTGGCTGCCAGACTCTGCCCTGGAGAATAAGCCTATTCTCCACCCACCAAACCATCTGCACCTCTGCAGGTTGTGTACAGACAGCAGTACTGCAAGGGTTCCCCTCTATGTAGGTGTGCATCTCAGGTGTGTGGCTGTGAAATGGGGACTTTGGCTACTTGCACTGAGCCTTGGGGACATCAGTGAGGCGTGTCCTGAACAGCTATCCCTGTCTCCTCTTGCTGATGGTGGGTGTGACCTAGATGGGCCATCAATGGGTGATTAATGGGTCCTTTGGATCAAGGGCTCCCTAGATAGTAGCATCCGTGGCAGGCCTTGCTCCTTGAAGCTTCCTGCTGCAGATGGTAGGACAGGAGGCCATGTGGGGAAGTACTATGGGAACATGGGATCTATCGACCTTGGCATTGAGTGGGCCAGCTAGGAGGGAGCCTTGGGGTCTTACCTGGGGGGCTCCCGGCCCTCAAAGGGGTTGAGGGCCAGCAGGGACACAGCTTCAGCATTGTTGGCCAGGAGCTTGCCAGCCAGGTGTAGGATCCACTCATTCTGCTCGTAGGTCTGGGGGAAAGGGCTTATGAGTCCTGTGTGCAGACCCTATGTCCCAAGTGCAGACCCTCCCTGTCACCTGTTGTCTGCCTGCTACTCTAAGTTCCTTATAGCTTGGGTGGAGTGTGGGCATTTGGATTCCCCGTATACCACAACCTTGGCTCCCCACTGCCCACCAGCCTGGCATGCAAGGGTCACTCATCATCTGCCCAGGCACCCAGTCTTGCTGATGTGTCCATGGTAGGCACTGTCCTGGCTACACCAGCCCCACCTGGCCTGGTCTTATCCTCTGAGACTATATCCTCCTGGGAGCTGCACTGCTGGCTTCATGACAGGACAAGAACAGAGGCTTTGTTTTGGAGCTGGCATCATCACCTTCCTGCATTCCTACAGCAAAGGTTCAGGGTTGTGAGGCCAGGACTGGTTACTACCTCAGTTGAGGTGAGCCTCCCCTGGGTGGCCATTTTGGGAGCCTCCATGCCCAATGTCATTGCCATGTGACAGGCCAGGGAGCTGGTGGTGGAACATCCTTACCTGGAAGGCTGCAAACCACATGAGCCAGTCCAGGCGATAGTGGTAGGGGGAGATCAGGCATGGCCGCCTCCAGGGGTTCCCTGGTTTGCACTTGAACTCATAATCCTCCCACACAGTATCAGGGGCACTGGCATTGGCACTGGCTGTGCCCTGCAGGATCACTTCTGTCCGCTCCTTGGTGATGCTAGGGGGAGATAAGGCACGTTCAAAGATGGAGTGGGTACTCTGCTTCTCCCTGCAGTGCTAGGGTAACAGCAGGGGACATGTTCAGCCTAGGACCTGATCAGAGGACCAGGCATGTGGCCAGGGCCAAGTGTCCCCTGGGACCCTCTTCCATACCTTCCAAAGGCCCCGTAGGTGTTGACAATCCGCAGTGGATTGAAGGAGGTGTTCATGACCTGCCTGGAGCTCAGCAGATTGATGACCACAGGCACACTAAGCCAAGCCAGCAGGATGCCCAGCGAGATGTTGGCCACACGCCGTACCAAGCAGCCTGTGGGAGGGGGATGAGTTCTCATGGCTGGGCACCCTCTCACCACCCTTCATCCCCTGCCAAGGCTGAGGACACAGGGTCCCCACACAGCAGATACTTCTCTGCCCCAACATACAGAAGGGGTTAGGGTTAGGATCACCTACCATATCTTGGCTCAGGCTTGGCCCCTCCAGCTTCCTCCTTCTGCATCCTCAGGACTCGATCTTTCAGGCCGCCTGGCCCTGAAGGAAACAGGAATCCCAGCGTGGCATCATCAAAGCAGGAGAGGCTAGGCACGATGGTCAACCAGTTCAGAAAGCTCAGGTTCCCACTGAGAATGAGGACCACCTGGGGAAGGGCCTGAGGGTGAGGCAGGGCCATGGGGGCACAGCCTATGCCCCTCCAGCATTGCTCTTGCAAGAGGAGGACTGAGGATGGGCCAGAATCTTGAATTAGGATAGGGTTCTTGGACATGAGCCCCCAGGGAACTGAGTTCATGGGGACACAGGATTCTCAGAGTTCAAACGTCACAGGAGACTGCACAGTGATCACTGTGCGTGCCCTCAAGCCCTACGAAGGGATGGAATCTGCATCTGGGCAAGGGTTAATGGACCGTCTCAGCCTTCATCTCTAAACCAACTACTGATACCAACAGGAAAAGTGTGGTTTGATGGCTTCTGACAAATGTGTACACCTGCACACAGGACACACTCTGGGCATCCCGTCCTGCTGCAGTCTGTCTTTTCTTGAGCTTCCTAGAAAGGGAGCCCTACAGTGTGGCTTCTTCTGTCTAGCAGGGTGCAGTGTAGGAGGGTATTAACCTGGGCAGGAGGAGAGAGCTCAGGTCCTGTCCCCTTTTCTGGGTGGACATGGTTGAGTCCCTGAGGATGTACAGGGCAGGGTGGCTAGCGCTAGGAAGTAGGCATAGGCTGAACTGGGTGGGGGGAATGCTTTCAAAGTGGCAGCAAGGCTTTAACCCCTGCAGCAGGACATGAGGGCTGAGATTGTGCCTCACTAACACCTGGTGTCACCAGCATCTTGACACTGGTGGCTGGAAGACCAGAGAAGCAGCTGATGCCAAAGCTGCTCTGGATCCAGGTGTATTCACACATCCTCTTGGAAGTGTCCAAATCTTTTCCTCTAAGTGAACAAGTGGGTGTCTTGTGGCTGAAGCATTCAGTTCTTCTTCTTTTTTTTTTTTTTTTTTGCGGAACTGGGGATTGAACTCAGGCCCTTGCGCTTGCCAGGGAAGCGCTCATTCCACTGAGCCATCTCCCCGGCCCTTAGTTCTTCTTATATCCTATTAGACTGTGCGTGCCACAAGAATGTTCTGCAGACTCATGGCTTTTTTGGCATCTTGTTTTAAATGTTCACAAAGTTCAGTTTATCAACTTCTACATTTTATAAGAGGTGTGTGTGTGTGTGTGTGTGTGTGTGTGTGTGTGCGCGCGCGCGTGTGTGTGCATGTATGTTCCATCTAGGAAGATGCCTACCCAAGACTATTCTCCTAAGACAGTAATGGAGGACCTTTCAGAGCTTTCAATAATAGCAAACAGTTAGTGTGGCACTCACAAGACAGATTTGGCACCACTGTTGTAAGAGCTCCATGTCCACTCTCTGTGAGCTTCTGGAGATGTGGGTGGAGGTGTGTTGGGAGCTGAGCTTCAGAAACCCTCCTTGCTGTGGAATGAGTTGGTTTAGCAGCTACCCTCACTCAGTAGTAAAGGGGTGGAATAGCTAGGCTCCCTGCTGAGGTCCAGGACAGCCTTAAAGGAAGAGATTTGGGGTTGAGGGCCTCCATGTGAAGGACAGGGGTAACAGAGGTGGGTAGGAATTCCTATAGGTAGAGGAAAATGTGCAGTGTTGACTGAGCTATGTGGACAAAGTGGAAGGAAGAAGGCAAGTACACAGGAGGAAAGATGGGAGGCACAGTGATTATCATGGGGGTGGGGTGGTGGACCCTGGACCTATGGAAATCAGCTTCCTTGTTCCTAGCAGGAGTATCAACCCCAGGATGCCCTGGTCATACTCTGTTGGCCAAAACCTGCATGGTTGAGTCCAAGTTGGTGGGAACGGACTAGCCTTGGAACACAGGCTGCACTTTAGTTATAGCTCATCCTACTCAAGGAGTGGGGAGTTTAAGGTCATGGGCGATGATATCCAGTGAGGTATCTATATGCTGGGTCTGGTATACTTGGCATTTTTGTGGATTATACTAGTGATTTCTAAAGTGTGGCTTCATGGCTCTCCCTGAGCTAATTTGGAACATTAACTTTTCTGGTTCTGAGCCACAAAACAACTCTGGTTCTTCACTATGTATAAGTTGCCCAGCCTCTTGCCTGCCCAGGGCCCCAAGCCCACTAGCCCCAGCCTGGCAGGAACTGTCTAGGTAGATGAGATAGGTGGATATGGGCTGCTCTTGTGTTTTGCTGAGGCCAGTTACCTGGGTCAGATTCAGGACCAGGGAGTAGCCCTGTGAGGTGGGCTGATACTGTGATGGGGCCTAAGCATCTTTGTACATGAGGTGGATAAATGGCTAGGTGATGGCCTGGTCTTGGGCAGAGCCCTGTGGGGTACTTTGGAGAGCTTCTGGAGTTCCTGTGAGGACACCTGACCATTCTGCATCTCTCTGTTCCCAGTGATTTGTACCAGCTCTGGTCTGTCACACTGTGGCTGGCCTGATGCAGGGTCCATGCAGCTGGGAGTGAAGCAACTCCCTTTGTTCATCCAACAATGGCATATCAGGCATCACTGGATATCTGCAGGTTCCCTGGGTGACTTTCATCTGTGTCTCCCCCTCCTCAGGGCTGCTATAAAATTCACATAGTTTTAGTTTGTTTCCCTGCTTTGATCCAGATGGTACTGAGACCAGAAAGGACATCTCTTGGACCAGGTGTCAGAGTGGCCTGTGAGAACCTGGTGTTCAGAACACAAAGCAGGAGGAGTTGCCTGAGTCTGTCCCAGCTGTACCCATTTGCTTATACCAGCAAGAGCCTCCCTAGGGCTCTGTGGCCCTCACAAATGCAGGGGAACATAACGTGTGGCCCCTGCCAAGGCTCCAGGGTGATTGAGATGTGTACACATTATTGGTCCAGGGACACAATCCTCAGGAATAGCAAGAGCTAATCCCCGCTGGCCTCCACAGTACACTGACTTGCACAGCAAGGCCTGGTATCCACTCCACAGCCCAGTTGCACCCTTACTGTCTTCCTTAAACATCTGCACAATGGGAACAAGGATGGAGGGAGTCTAAGAGACTGTTTTTCTTAGTGTGTCAGCTTGGCCTGCTTCAGGGAAACACTACGATTGGACTTCCCAGGGTGTGTGTCCCAGGTCTCCTGGGTAGAGCCAATTGGAGAAGGGGTGCTATTGTCTAGGACTTCATACACAGGGTAGCCACCCCTGGAAGACTGCCACCATGGCTGAGACTCAGAGCCCCATGATTCCCAGAACTGCTGTGATATCACACTGTGGGGCTGATGAGCTCAGGCTGAACGCTGTGCCTGTGGTTTTTGCTCTAGGGTAGAGAGAAGTCACAGGCAGCAGGAGGTGAAGGCATTGTAAGGGCCAGTACAAAGTGCTAGATACCACATAGACAGGAAAACTGTCCTGAGACCCCTGACTGTAGGATGCTATGAGACCCCCCAGTCTCTGATAGGATGAAGGAGAAGAGGAGCTGGAACCCATGGGCAAGAATGTCTTTGTGTCATGGTCTGGGCCTCAAGTCAGGGAAGGAACAGGAGCAGGGAAGCAGGGTACTGGGTGGGGCTTGGTGAGCATGCAAGTTGGACTCCAGGATTCTGAGGACCCAGGTGGACAGACCAGGTGGAAACCAGACACCCAGCAGGCACCCGAGAAACACCAAGCCTTGTGAGTAGGGCTAAACTGACTTGGGTCAAGGCCTCTGTGGACCTGCCCACAGGAACCTGAAGATAGCACCTAAGGGATGACAGAGATGGGTCTCAGAGTTGCAAGAGTGTGGCAGCATTGGCCACATCTGGACACACAGACTGTTGCAAACATAAGCCATGATCAGGAGGGGAAAAGGAACAGAATTAGAACCAAGTAGGTAAGAATGTTAAAATAGTTATTAATGCTTCAAAACTGCAGTTGTGTTTTCCTTTAAATTTAAGAGAAAAATGAGAGCAACAAAGAAGAACCAGTGGTGATTTCTGGGGTGAAAAGGTGACCTGTGAGGTGGGAAGCATCCTTGAATAAGCTCTGGAACAACGGCAGCAGCCTATGCGGATGCCACGAGTGCGTGAGCGCAGGCCAGGGTAGATGTCTTGGGCTGAAGCAAAGCACGCCAGGCTGCAGCAGGAATGGGCATGGCCTGGTCCGCATGTAATGTAAGGACAGCAGAAAAAAAAACGATGAAATCAGCCCCAGGTTTCCCTAACTTGATGAAAGCAATAAAAACACAGATAAAGAAGCCTAGGAGGGTTGGGGAGATAGCTGGGTGGTCTAAGCACCTGCCTGGCAAGCACAAGGACCTGGGTTCAATTCCCAGTACTGCATGCCATGCTGACCATGTGCTGTGCCAGCCAGTGAATGTGGGCATGGTGGTGCATGCCTGTAAACCCAATGCTAGGGAGGCTGAGACAGGAGGATCACTATGAGTCCAAGCTGCATAGTGAGACCCTGTATCAAATAAATAAATATTAAAAAAAGAAAGCCTAGGAAATCACAGCAAGGATAGACTCAAGAAAATCATACAAATCATATCTGAATTTAACTACTCAAAACTAGGGAGAGAGGTCTTCAAAGCAGCCAGAAGGGAAAATATCACAGAGAGGAGGATTGAAACTGTGGATTGCATAGCAGTAATAAAGCATGGAGAAGAAAATGGAAGGGCATGAAAAGAAAAGATGGGAGAGGGTGACTGTCTTCTCTGCTGACCTGGGATGACTATCTTCTGTCCTTGGAGTGGGTTGCCTGGGTCCCGGACCTTTGAGTTTGGGCTGAATGACACCACTGACTTTCCTGAGTCACAAACTTGTAGGTGGTGGCCCTGAGTGTGAGCATTAGGGAGCCACTGCCCCATACCGCCACAGCCCTAGCGTATCCAGAAGGCCTGCTTTGTGTTCTCAAGGTACTGTTAGTGTGGCTGTCTGCCTGACCTGTCTGACAGATGGTGACTTTCAGTATACCCACAGCTGACCTCAGCCTTGGTGGGCAACTCTCTGCCATTGGCCGTCCAGAACAAAATATGAGTGTCAGCCACTTGAAGGAAGACTAGGGAGGTTGAGATGCTGGCCCACATCTGTCACAAACAAGCAGCTGGCCCTGTGCCCACTGAGGCTGGGGTGGCAACTGTGGCCTATGGCTGGGTACACGGAGCAGCCTAA